ACAACAGCATTTGATGTTTGCTTTTTGTTACGGCTTCTTTTAGTTTCTGTTAGTGAGGGCACAGGGTAAGATGAGCTTTGAGTGAGTTACAATGAGTTCAATGATAGTTGTTTTTTGGAACAGTTATCAAATGTGCTACCCTTTTTTGGATGAGATCTGACAAATTCTGAATAAGAAACAGCAAATGATGCTTTTATGAGTGTCCCAGAAGAACTGCAGGAAACCTGCTCTAGCTAAAGATGTCCTTGTACATAGCAGGGGGGCAGGTGGACTAGATGGCCTTTAAAGATTCCTTCCAACCCAAACTGTTGTATGATTTTATGAAAGTCAGAAAAACATTACCTTTCTGTTCCTCCCACCTTATTTAGGTGTTATTCCTTCTTTCCCAGTGCAACGTGCTTGCAGCTGGTGCCCGTGTCAGTAATTAGGCCAGCTGTGCTTTTTCTTCTTATTAGTTAATGTGTGGGGAAGATTGAATTCTTTCTACTTTGAGAGACCTGAATTTGATCATAAAGTTTCCTGAACAGGTTTGTGAATAAAAAAATTATTTGTGAAAGAATAATTTCACATGGTAAAATTGCAATGGATAATTAATCTAGCCCTCTTAAATATATTTAGTCCCTCTGCAACCAAATGGCATTTGAGTTAGAGAAAATTTGGTCTAGGAATGATTTTCCATGGACCTTGATCTTTTCAGGAGCAAGGTTGACCTGACACCACCTAGGCTGTTACTGAAGATGTTTCTCTACTCTGCTCTTGAAAGCACTTTCCCTAAACAACCTGTACCAGGGTTTTACTATCCTCAGTGTTAGGTTTTCTTAATTGAAATTTAAACTAAACATAATCTAAAATCTAAAAAACCCAAATAATTTCTTGTCCTCTTTCATTGGCATATAAAGAGCATTTTTTTTTTCTCTCCTTGTAGCAATAATCTTTTATAGAGGGGAAGACACCTCTTTTAGCATGCTTCTCTAAATTACTGCCTTCATTGTTTTCTACGTTCTGGACTGCTCCTCTGGCTCCACTGGGAACATTCCCACATTTAGCTAGATCTTTCTCAAAGTGTGTTGCTTACTTTGCACTTTAATCCACTGTCACAAAATATCCTCAACTCCTTCTTCCCTAACATTATACCCAAATTTTTATGTTCAGTCTCAACTCCTCATTAATGAAAATACAGGCTAGTTCCAGGATGTCTCTTGACATCTTCTCACTGACATATGCTATTGATAACTTTCTTGTGTAGTTGTTTAGCATCAGACTCCAGTCATTCCTTGTGGATGAGAATGCAATTTAAAAGTAGATAAGATTCTGCCCTCAAAATCTTATATGAAGCTGTGACCTTGATGTATTCTTAGGAATGTCCATTGTGTTATATATCTCCTGAGGGATTAGAATTATTTTTTTCTTTCTTTCTTTTATATACTGCTGCATAACTTGACATTACTAGAGCAAGGGGCACCAAAGAAATAAATATGAATTTGATTTAAAAGAGAAAAAAAACTTTAGACAGCAGTACGGTGTTCTGGGATTTGGGACAGCTGGAGTTCATGATGGCAGATGGTCAGAAAGGGCCGAGGGAATCACGCAGCCAAGGGGACGAGATGTCAAGGAAGGAATATCCCTTCTATCATCCCTAATGCAACAGCCCAGGTGCTGGTGGTGTATGAGGAAAAGGACTACAGAAAGGGCTCAGATTTATGGTTACACCTGTAACAGCATCTCCCTCATCCACTGGGAGATGCACTGGGCCAGAAAGGCAGTTGCTGTGCTCCAGAATGACTTTTTTTATGTCCTCATAAAAAGTCCTTATCAATAGGACTGATGGAGTGGGGTTCCAGTGGGTATCTTGTTCCTGTCATCATATGTCATAATCGTGGATGACAGTACAGAGTTGACCTCAGTTTGGATCCCAGATGTCAGCTGTGCAACCAAAAAATTATGTATCTTTCTATCTGCTGATGGGACAGAGTAAATAGGGATTCACAATGAAGTTGTGTGACATTGCTAAGTTGGAATTCATCAATCTTAGAGGTCTTTTCCAATCAAAATAATTCTATGATCTCCCCCTAGCTTTTAAAATTAAAATTCCCACTCTCCATCTGGAGGAAGACTCTCAGAAGTTGTGGAGTGCCCTTCACAACCTCTGCTGAGGAGTCACCCCCATGATGAGGCTGAATGGTGTACTGCAGTGCTTCTGCAAATGAGGGCTGGAAAGGGGGGGATTTTGGACAGGCATATTGAGTGGGATTTGTGCAGCCAACACTGCTGACCTTTTCCCTCTTAAAGAAGAAAAAAGAACTGTGACAATATGAAAGCCTGCTCTTGAGCCAGAATTTTGGCTAGGATTATGGCCGAAGCATAATTTCTCAAGTCTTCCAAGTGCTTCTAGAGGTTACAGTGTTGTGTTACGATGCAATCGCCTGCCTTCATGTTTTCTCTCCGAGGCTGAGGAGGAGGGCATTTCTCTGAGTTGCTGGAATTGTGCTGGACCAGGCCCAAAACAAATGAGATGGAACTTAACCCATCAGTGGGGAGCCTGGTGAGACCACAGCTGTAGGCTCTTAAAGCTGATGTTCAGGGCAGCTTCTGTGGGTAAACTCTGGTCTTTGGAGTTCTTTGTCTTCCCCCACTGCCTGAGAAACCACCTGCTTCATCTTGTTTAATGAAAAATGAATTTAATTCATATGCAGGCCTATGCTTTAAAACAGAAAACAAAACCTCTGCTTAGTGTCATTGTCAGGAAAGTCTTCTAGAAGCCCATATATATTTATGCTGGGGTCAAAACTTTGTTTTGGCTATTCAACCCACACATTCTGAATGTTCCCATTTCCTGATACCAAACTTAGGGAAGCTTGAGGATTTATTTAATAAGATTTTTCTTTTTTCCTTTCTTTGTTTCAGGCTGTGGGCAATGGGGAAGGTATATGGGAAGGCATATCTCCTACTAGACTTTTTTTTTTTTTTTGGGCAAACCACAGGAGTGGATGGAGAGAAAGAGAGAACCCCAGGTCCCAATACAGCAGGTAGAAGAGTTTTGTGTTCTATTTGAATGGGGTAAATATCACTGTTGTGTGCTTTGTATGTTTGGGGAGTGAATGTCCTCAGTGGAGAGCTGGAGTCAGAGTGGACCCGTATTCCTTTTGTTTTAGTGAGCTCCCAGCATGAAATGAAATGGATGCACTGCAAATCCCTCACCACACTTCTGCAGATTCCCCATCCTCCCTAGCTGAACCTCCAGGAAGCAAAATATCCATCCACTAGCAAAGCTGAGTAAGGTTGACAAATACCCTCCCCTCTTCTAATGTCAACACACCTATATTTGAACCCTTGCTCTGAATACTTAATGCATTTACTAATACATTTATGAAGAGTCATTTGGGGGTTTCTTGTGGAGGTGCCACAGCTCACAGGGGCGCTAACAAGGCATTTGGTTCAGAGTTTGGAAAACACATTCAGTGTGGCTGCACACTTCAGCTTCAGTAGAGGCTTTCAAAGGTTTGTAAATATTTACACACATTTCTGAATGCAAGTTAGTTGGGGGGGGCTTTAAACACTGAACCTAGAGAGGAATGCAAAACAGAATAACAAACAGGAGGCAGAAAAACTTAAAGAAGAGCAAGAACAAAATCTCAACACTTCACTAATCCCGTAACTTCTCCTAAAGTACTACCTCATGAGTGATTCCTATAATTCTCATGGAATTGTTTTCATCTATTAACAGTTGCTTAGCTCAAGGGTCCAAGTTATGCTCCTCTCTCCTCTTCATGCCCCAAAGGAGCCTTTGAGTGTTTCTGTTCAAAATAGACACAAAATAGCCACACTGAAAAATATTTAGGAGATATGTCATCAACCTTTCTTACAGTAGTTTCAAAACTCTATCAAATTCACAGACCCATGGTGTTGGATACATACCAAGAAAGTGCAAGCATCTGACCAAACATGAACACTTCCATTCTGGGTTGTCTTTGCAGTCTGTGGAGAAATGGTGTCTCAAGGACATGGTTCATCTCATCCAAAATTCAATGTCTGGTGCACTTTCATGTCCAGTGAATATTTTAGGAAAAGGGATAGATGGTTTTTGAGGACAGATGTGAAATGGTAATCAATGGATCAATGAAATAGATTCCTCAGTTCAGGAGCTGCTTCTGAACACCTCAAACTATTCACTGGCAAGCAGATAAAATGATGGAATCCAACACAACAACTGATTTATCCCACTGAGTCTGGCTTTAATTAAAAGCAGAAGCAAAACGAGCACTGAAAGTCTGTGTGATATTTGGTGACTTGTCATACTACCCTGTATTCTTGCCATACTTCCTGTTTCTGGGTCAGTACTAAGGGTGTTTTGGGGCCAACCACCCAGCTGCTCTTGCTGTGTTGGGAGAAAATCAAGGGGGAAAAGCTGTACAGTTCAGCCCTGATCACTGATTGTGATTTCCCTGATAGGATCAGTACTGCATAGTGGCTGTAACAGCCTACACAGGATTTTTCCCAGTCTGGAATCTTTGGCATGGAGTCTGTTCAAACACTATCTGGTTGTAGAGCTCCTCCTTTGCCCTTTTCAGGTTAGGCAGTGGTGGACAAATACCAGTGTTTGTTCTTTAGGGTGTCATCTTCTTCCAGCTCCTTTCAGACAGCTTTGGAGCTTGCCTGGGAACACAGATTGCTTGGAATGATTAGTTCTTGTTGTGGAGGTATCCCTATAGCTTTGCTTGTCTGCTCATATGGGAGAGGCCTGGCACAGCTGACAGGCAGTCTGGATGGTGCCAGCCCCAAACTGAGAGTCAGAACAGGAGTTTAATGTTATTTTGGATGTGATTGCAGCCCAGGATTTTCCCTGCCACCCTTGTAGGCGTAGGGGGCTGTTGGCTGGGTGGTCACAGTGCTGGCTTCACCCAGTGCCTTGCAGAGCTGTCAGGCCCAGCAACACCACACGACAGTGGTTTGGGAATCCCTGCAGGAATCTGCACTCACTCATAGCATTTTCCTTCTTCCAGACAATGCAACAAGACTTCCAATGGGAGTGACAGCTGCGACTTGATGTGCTGTGGCAGAGGCTACAACCCCTACATGGACAAAGTGGTGGAGCGTTGCCACTGCAAATATCACTGGTGCTGCTACGTGACCTGTAAAAAGTGTGAGAGGACTGTTGAGAGATATGTGTGCAAATGAAAACCCTCCTCTGCCCACCTGGGAGCTGAGACAGCAGCGGCACCCCAGCACTATTCAGAGAAAACATTTCCTTGACTAGACATCATTTATCTTTTAAAGACACAGACTTGAGGAGAGATGGTAGGAGAAAAAGCAACAACCATACCAGTAAAAAATAAGAATGTAAAAAATCTCCTAAAAAGCCACAAACCCACAAATGTTTTCCCCCCACCAATAAAATGCTCTCTGAGAAGATAAAAGCTCATTTGGGATGGTAACTTCTTCCAAAATATTTCCTATGCTTGCCAATGATGTTCAGCCATCAAGTGCCTTAGTATTCAGAGAAAAAAATATAGGAACTTTCCCTGGGGGAAAAAAAAGCAGCATTTGTTTCACAGTAACTAAGGCTCACACCTGCCTATGCCTTCTAGCACAGATACTGGGTCTCCATTAGGACCATCCCAGAAGGGAAAATGCTACAACTTTTCAGAAATAACTGCCTTTGTTTTGCAAAGACTTAATTTTTACCAGGAAATCGTCCACTCTGAGTGATAAAAGTGGAAAGACTTCAGGTCAATCCCCTGAAATGAACAGCTAATTTTAATCTGTCTTTTACACAAGTCTGAGACTTTGAACTTATTGCTGAAGTCATATGAATATGAAGTCATATTCATATAATGAAGAATATGTCCTTGATTTGTCCAGGCTGGACAAAATTCCAGCCATTAAAAAAATCCCCTGGAATCCTGGAGGCAGTGAGAGCAGGGCAGGCTGAGAAGGACTTTATGGGGTGCACAAAGCAGCAGTGGAGCCAGCAGGATAAAACAACAAAGTGAAGTCCAAGTCCAGTGGGGAAGTAAAGAAAAAAAGCAAGCTCCTGCTCTCTATCTCTTTCCCTTTGGGTGTGATACTCTTAGTCCCTGACATTCTTCCACATTGACCCATCATGTCCTTGGGGAAATATGCCACTGGCTTTTCCCTCACAAAATTATTGGTCCAACCTCAGGAAACTGCAGAGAGTGGAGCATTCCTGGCTGTAGGGAGTCCGTAGGTATTCCCAGCAGGAAGGAGTGGAAGTGTGTCAGTCTTTCACATGGCCCTTCCCTGACACTGCAGAGAACCTCTATCTGTGGCTGTACATATTTTCTTCTGTAAGCAGATATACAGAAATGTTTATATCATATGCTTTCATCTGCTTTACTTCCTACATAAATATATCCTTCTGTTATAAACAAGCATGGACAATAGTATGAAATACATGCTGAAGTTACTGGTGCAACAGCAAAACATTAGATTATTTTTCACTCTTCTACTTGGAAAGCAACTCTGATTTTCCTCCCAAGGATGGGAAAAGAGCATTGTTTGAGGCACTCACTGGCATAGGATAGATAAGTTTCTTTATTCCCTGCCTCCCCAGCCTCTTAATTTTGAGCAGAATTAGCCAAGATACAGTCAAGATAATGAAACAGAGCACTTGGAAAAAGGAAGAGTCACCATTGAAGTTTTAGGGGTTTTTTTTATCAGCAATCACTCTCATTGGTAAAATTTCAAAAGAATTCAACAGAAATCAACAACAGAATTCAACAGAATGACTAGGTTGCAAGAGACCTCCAAGATCATCGAGTCCAACCCATGCCCTAACACCACATTTCCTAGTGCCCCTGAGGAGCTTAATAATAAACATGACTCATACCTCTCATGTTATGGGTGGTTGGCTTTTGGCTCCTGCACACAGAAAGGAGTTGCTGTGCAGGGGAGGTTTTAATATAACCTAGGCTCCCTTATTTGCTTTTTGTTTGTTTTGTTTGTTTGTTTTTTGTTTTGTTTGTTTGTTTGCATTTTTGTTATTATGGGTTTGTTTTGTTTTGTTTGGCTGGTTTGGAGTTGAGGGGGGGGAGATTTTTTGTTTTGTTTCTTTTAGTGGTCATCCAGCCCTGTGCACTGATTATGAAAGGTGATGTTGGAGAAGGATGCTGCTCCAGGAACAGAAGGCAGCAGAGCTTCTGACGTCTTTCAGATCATTCTTGGGCACCACAACCCCATGCAAAATGCTGGAAGCAGCCAAAAACTCACTCCAACACAAATGTAGAGGGACTCTGTCACTTTCCTATGGAGAATATGTCAGTAACACTGCAATCTTTGTCCAAATCCTCTTTTTTTCCCCACTTAGGCACTCCCTAGGGGGAAACTGCCTCTGACATGTCTGTGAGCAGCACTGGGGAGCTGGAGGAGAAAAGCATCATGTGCTATAAGAGCAAAATTAGAGGTATTTTGTTCACTTCAGCTACTTTGCTTTGCTGTAATGGATTTGGTCTCCTTGTCTCCTTCCCTCCCCCAGTCATGAACAGGCAAAAAAAGACCTTTCATAGTTTGTCAGTGGTTTGTGTTATTGTCACCCCATAAAAGCTGATGGACTAAAACGTCTCTGCAGTGTGGTGTGATGAGTGGTGGGTGTCTTTGGGCTGACATGCAGACAGGCTAGTGGCACAAATCCCACTGCTCTCCAATGCCGGAATTTGGCTTCATTTGATATGTAAAGAAACCATCTACTCTCATTCTTTTAAGGAATTTAATTTTTATTTCCAGTTTCTGATGAAGCCAACAAGGCACGGATGTTCTGACTGAAGAAATATTTGAGCATTTCAGTGCTATTCTGTAATGACTCTTTTTCTTGCTCCCTTGCTGATGTCACAAGTCTTTCTGCTTGGTGAAAAAACAGTAAAAAGGAAGAAAAGGTCTATACATAACTGTTTTCACCTGCATTTCACTCCTCTCATGTCAGATCTGTGATCCTTGACTGGCTTTCTCATGTCAGAAGAAATCATCACCTGGAACTAAAAGAAGTGTGTAAACCAATTAGGCATCTGGAGGTCCATCAGGTGGGAAATGAGCCCAGAGCAGAACTTCAGCCATGGTGGTAACTCACACTTTGTCATCTCATGCCACAGATGTCTGTTACTGAAGATGCTGACCTGAAATGTCTGATTTGTTTGGAGTTTTGCAGTTTGGGGCATCCACGTTCAAAATCTCTGCTGGCTTCTCCAGACAATCCATCATGGGCTTCATCTGAACTTCACTTCTTTGAGAAAAGAGTTTGTGTGGCCTCAGCCCATGTCTTAGGCTGTTAGTCTACAAATCAACAGTGTTACACTGCTTTTGCCACAGCTTCTAAATTTCAGGGCCCTTTCTTCCTGTGGACTAGCTGCACACTGCATTAGGATTGTGCCCAGGGTGTTGTGCCTTCCTAAGGTGACAGTCATGCACAGGGCAAGGCCTGATAAACTGCAGCCTCCCTTGTTACACAGGCCTGCTTAATCCAGCAAACTAGGGTCATCTCATCGGTTTGGTGGCTTTAAGATTAAATAAAGTAGGTTTAGATTAGGTGTTAGGAAGAAATTTTTCCCTGTGGGAGTGATGAGGCCCTGCCTGCCCCATCCCTGTCCAAGGACAGGTTGGACAGGGCTTGGAGCAACCTGGTCTAATAGAAAGTGTCCCTGCCCATGGCAGAGGGGTGGAATGAGATGAGCTTCTAAGGTCCCCTCCACCCCAAACCATTCTGTGACTCTATGATCTCCCTCTGGATGCTCTGGCACTTCCAAATGTTTTCAGAAAATATCTTTCTATGAGCAGTAGATATTGCTTTCTGCTTTCCTTTCCTTTTAATAAAAGCTAGGAATAAAGAGAGTACCTGTAACACAGGGCCATACTGGTGGACCCACTCTTAGTGAATCTTTCTCCTTGCAAGCTGTCTCTGCTTCACTCCTTTCATCAGCAGCAAAGTGCAGGGAGGCCAGAAGAGAAAAGTGTCACATCTCTCAATTTCAATTATTGATACAACAGGGATTCAAACCAGAATGGCCAAATTATTTTTGCAGTCTAGAGGAAGGTGTCCCTGCCCATGGCAGGGGGCTGGAACTGGATTATATTCAAGGTCCATTCCAACCCAAATCATTCTATTATTCTATAATTGTTTGTGCATGTGAAGTGTGAAAGATATTTGGGAGAACGTTTGTCACAAACCAGCTTTGCAAGGAAAATCCATCCCTACTTCCCTTTCTCAGGCCTTCAGCAAGCAGTTATCAAGGCTTTGGTCTGAAACAGAGATCCTCCAGCTACTGCAGAAAATGACTTTAATTACTGTGAACGTCCTTGTCAGGTGATGCTGTAGTTCCCTTCTTATAGCATGTCTTACCACATCCAAACAGCTGATAGAATTTGGCCCAGCTCCATGTTGTACTACACAGTAGTGTTGATTTACACTAACCTGCAAAATACATCTGATTTATTCCCACAAACAGCCTGTATTGTTTCACAGCCTTACACTATTACCCCTGATGGAAGCAGACAAGCTATCCTGAAAGGTGTTATGCTGGTGGCCTTCTAGTATTTATTAATTTGAAAAAAACCCCCTGTGATTTAATAAAACAGTTTGGACTTAATGCTATTTTCAAATCTGAGGTTTTAGACCCTGTATGCATCTGGCTGACTTTGTAATTTTTAATTAATTCCCCCCATCCTTACCCCTTTCAGTTTTAAAATCATTTAGGTTTCTCCATAAGGTAGGCAAATGCCATTCATTATAAAAAAAAAAACTCCCATCTGATTGTGTATTTTATTCTACAAAAATAGGAGATATCTTAATTATACTTAAGCAGGCAGCGCACAATATTTCACGTGCAGTTAGAAAAGCCCTTGGTGAGGGGAGTGAGGGAAGAAGAAAAAAAATCTGAATACAATTATCAGTGTATCTGTCAGGAAAGTGATAAAAGAATCCCTGAGGGACCATTCCTCTTCCTGCTAGAAGACAGATCCCTGTAGACAACCATTAACATCCTCCAAGTGAGACAGACTTGTGCTGCCCAGCTCTGGGCTACCTGTTTGGGGAGGGTGCTGGGAGGAGGCTCTGGAGGTACTTGGGAATATGGGGAACAAGAGGAAAATTCAGGCCTGGGATTGATTGTTGTTAGACCTCCACCCTGTGACAAAAGATTTGTCTTTCCCTGCATCAGACAGGGGGTTGTGAAACATCATTGTTTTGTTCCCAAGAGCATATCAGAGCTATCACAGCATGACTTTCTCCTCTGCAAGGGAGATGGAGCAGAAAACAAGATTTGAGAGAGGGGAGAAAGAACAGGAAACTTAAAATCCACCTGAGATTAATGACTTTAACATGTACAACATGTTTTGTT